CTGTTTGTAATGTTAACATAAGAGCTTTTCTGCCGACTTCCAAAAAGGAGCCGGTACTCAATTCGACTGTATGTTTTTTTTTTCGTTTTTTTTTTTTCGTTTTTTTTTATGTGTGTTACCTCAGAACTTTTTTCTGGGTGAACCGATTTCGATGATTCTTTTTCTATTTGAAAGCTGGTACTTCTCGTGTGGTCCCATATGAATTTGATCAAGGTCAAACCAATAGTTTTTAAGTTATTCTTAAATAACTTATATTGAAGTCGGCTGTACAAAATTTTTAATTTTAAATTATTACTAAATGTATATGAAAGTATATACGGTACATACAACAAAAACACAATTTTAAAAATGTTTGTCTGACTGTCTGTCTGTTTGTTCCGGTTAATCTCCGAAATGGCTGGACCGATTTTGACGGTAATTTCACTGGCAGATAGCTAATGTTATAAGGAGTAACTTAGGATACTTTTATTTTAGAAAAATTATTAGGGTTCAGCGCAAAAAAAAATTAAAACTCATAAAATCTAATCGTGATAAATTCCACGCAAGCGAAGTCACGGGACACACTCAGTGTATACAAATAAATAAAATTGAAGTGTCTGTTTGTAATGTCAAAATTACAGCTTTTACTAAATGTATATGAAAGTATATACGGTACATACAACAAAAACACAATTTTAAAAATGTTTGTCTGTCTGTCTGTCTGTTTGTTCCGTTTAATCTCCGAAACAGCTGGACCGATTTTGACGGTACTTTCACTGGTAGATAGCTAATGTTATAAGGAGTAACTTAAGATACTTTTATTTTAGAAAAATTATTAGGGTTCAGCGCAAAAATAAAATTAAAACTCATAAAATCTAATCGTGATAAATTCCACGCAAAAAAAGTTAAAACCAAAAAAAGTTAAAACCAAATTACACGCGAGTGAAGTCGCGGGGTACAGCTAGTCTTTAATGTAATAGATGTTAGCAAAGTAACGAATTTCTATTTATAATTAAGATAAAAAACTGCGCTTGCATTACCACCTGCCAAGCAACTATGGCAAATATCACCCCTATGAGGCCTATGCTGTAATTAATGAACCTTATAATAAGTTACCTCTGTAGGCCATGGAACAAAAAGAACAAGAAAAAAAATCTTCATGCATTGTTGCATAACAACATATCATCTCCAACCTAACTGAACGGTGACTTTGACTCGCCATGAAACCGAGCCGCTAGCGGTCAAGTTCAATACCGCAGTTTGTTTAGTCGCTCTCGAGTTACGTGTAACATCACCTTCAAAAATAGCGTATTCGCTTTATGCAAGTCACTAGCTCAAGTGATTGTTTTATTAATTTTAATTATTGAAGTGAAAACGTCTTTATAATTGTTGTGATTTGAAAGTATTATTTATTATTTATCTGTTAATACACTATACAGTCCTTCCGTTTGCCGTTCCGTGTTTCCTATACAGTGTGTATCTGGGTCTCAATAAATTAGTCATAAACATGAATATATTATAATAAACTTTTATTAGTAAAATATAAATAAGGTCTCATTTCTACCGCGTGTGAACTGCACATATCATGTTATGTTTATACCTTTATAAAAAGATTTACGAAGGACTTGCTTTCTTTAGACGATATCTTCCTGTCAACCGCATTATAAATAAAGCTTTAAATATTAGGGGATAGTCCTTATACTACAATAATACCTTATATAAATTTATAAATATATGCCTAATACTATAAATACAAACTCAATATAATTAATAATAGCTGTGGCCCGCGGTTTCACCCGCGTATATCACACGTCTACGCCTTGCGACATGCGAACTCTCGAGAGAGACATCACGACGGACGGTCGCTGAATTAACAAATATTTAAAAAGTGAAATATATTACTAAAATTACATGGTTAACGTAATCGGTGGTTATGCATGGTACAGGTACTGATACGAATAATGTGGCCTAGTTTGTACCGGCGTTACTATTTCATATTTTAACATGAAAAAGTAGTTATTGTGACATAACTGTAATACTTAAACATATGGTATCGCAGGCTTTTCTGTAGATATTGATATCCTCTATAAAACTGAAGTACATTACTTTGCACTATTATCAATAGTTTCCGCAGCGTACGCGATATAAGGATTCTTTTTGGTATTTTTTTCACACCTTGGGTTATATTAACGAAGTTTTCATACGGATCCCTAAGTTTTTGAAAATATTATATAGCCTATATTCATCAGGGATAATGTAGGATTCTAATGGTGAAAGAATTTTTCAAATCGGTCCAGTAGTTTCGAAACCTATTCAATTCAAAGAAACAAACAAATCTTTCCCCTTTTATAATATTATAATAGTGTAGAATAGTGTGATATAGTGTAGATATAGTGTAGATAATGCTCACCTTACGAAACACAGTAGCATTACGCTGCTATTTCACTTTGGTACTTTGTGCGAGTGTATTGTTTCCCCAGTGGGGCGGACCAGTTCACATCTCTATCCAGTTAATGGTAGTATTTTTTTTTGGTAATGGCTTGCATTGTTGTATTTTTGCCAGCATCAAGTAGTGAGAAATTATCCTTTTCATATTGATGGAGTGAGGGCCGCGGTTTCTAATCCCGCACAGAACAAGTATTTGTATGGCCTACAAATAATTTTTCCTGATCTGGATGTTTGTCCTTGTTAAGTTCATGTATGTAAACGGCCCCCACGATACAGGAGAACATCCTAATTGGGAAGTAACGTTTTTTAAATAAAAAATAAACAGAGACAATCATAAGGACTGCCGATAGAAGTGAAAACTGGATGATATATGCGTATACATGTATACAGGTCGCTATGCTTCGCGCCGCTAGGCTGGCGCAAACGCAATACGTCACGAACATGTCGAGGTCGTCGGTGACGCGAACTCATAAGTTTATCGCCTACCGAAAATTGCTCAACGCGGCTAAAGAAGTTTTCACTAAAAAACTTAAATGTTTAAATTACACTACTTGCACGTTTTATTTATTAAGTGTAAACATAGCATTGGAATCACAATTCAATGGTTTATAATAATGGCCGGAAGTGGAAATAGACATGTCATCATTCGCCAGTTTTTTTTATATGTCGTTTATGTTATTTTCATATTAAGTGACAATTTTGTACATTTAAGGAAAAAATTGCGCTATAAATTAGCTTAACTGCTCAATCTGTTATTTTTGAAACGAATTTCCTTATCGTACGGTACGAATTTGGCGGATGGGGCTAGGCGAAAAAAGTGTAAGATTTTTACATCACGACCCCCTTTGTATAGTGCGAGTGAGATGTAATAATATCCATCTCCCTCGTACTTTTTCTTATCCATGCCATGAAAGAACTATTATTTTAAATAACGCTTCATTTTAACACTTTCACTGTCCGGTTTGCAGACACAATAGTAAGACAATAGCAATGACCTATATGTAGTGCAAGGGCAGCGAAAGGGTTAATAGACGCTAGTAGTTCATTTATTTGTATTTGATAATCAATAATATAATACGTTTATCAATAATAATATACCACGAAAGGAGCTTCGTTCCAACCGAGTGATACACGACACTCACGCATGTTTTCGACTTGCCAAATGGTCATTTAAACAGCTTTTTTATAGAATAAGAATGACAAACAAGCACACACTCCACCTGATGGTAAGTGGATGGTGTGGCCCATAGACACTTACATTAATACTCTATTAAGAATCAAAATGCAGATGCGTTGGATCGTTTGCAGTAAAAAGGGTCACCGGTTCTCTACACTGAGCATACGAAACACAGCAGCATTAAGCTGCCATTTTACGTTGGTATTAGCTTACCAACCATAAAGATTTATACCTAGTTAAGCTACGTTGCAACATGTAACTACATCACGGATGGGTCGGCTCGCCCCTGTTAACTAACCCTGCCTCGTTACCAGTAAAAAAGGTCTCCAATTCTCGCACTCGCCACACAAAACGAAGCATGTTTACGCTCGTGTTCTGTGCTTTATTGATCCTTGCCAGTGTGCAACGTGGCTTTACCACTGTGAAACTTCTTCATTTTTTAATGTAAAGGCTTTATTACGAAAATAATTTGACAGTAGAGTATGCAAGTCGCAAATACATTTCCATGATGTTTTTTTGTTCATTCTCAAGTTCATTAATCTGTTTCAGCTCTCAAACAAAATAACTCGATTTATCAGTTGTCTCATACCCACAATATTCAAAGGATGTAGATTCAATTCTGCGATCCTAATAGACAGTATGTATTAGATGATATTTTTTGTAGAAAAATACTTTTTTCTTTTTACTTTGCTGCAACATGAATGTACACACATTATTGAACTCATTCATTACAGCCTGTCAAAGCTAAGGCGGTTATCTGCCATAGTTGCCACGCTTGGCAGGTGGGTTGGCAACCGCAGTTTTTTTTATACACAGTTGTTTTTAGGAAAACGCTGTTGCCCATCTCCTGGTTTGTTTCCCTCTGTCGCCTCTCACGACACCCACGCGATATGGGGTAGTTGATATTCTTGCACGGCCATTATTCGGCGAACTATCTATCTTTATTATATAATGCTTCTATCCGTGTGTATGTGACTGAACTCGCCCTAGATGGCTTGACCATTTTACATTTTAAACGGCTTTTGATGAATTTCTGTGTGTGTAATTAAGGTGATTCGAGAATAGTTTAGATTCACAATTAGACCTGGTAGGTAGCTCTGTAGTCGAGATACAGAAATCACCGGGGCGCATTACAAGTATAGTTAGTTATAAAGTATTAAACTTGGTGAAGTACCCTCAATAGTGGGAAAGGGCTATGTGACCTCCAGTATATACTAGTATTATAAATGGAGTAAAACTAATTTTACGGATGTAATCGCGTTTAATTTTTTTCAATTTACGACGTTTCGGGCACTTTCCAGCGCCCACGGGGGGGGGGGGGGGGGGGTTGGTCTAAAATATAAGAAATCATTACTATTGTAAATATGAAACAAGCTGTAGTCTCAAGTATAGTTACCATGTAGAGATCACCATATCGGCAAACCTTCCAGAAGCCCTTGATGCTCGTGAGCATGGTGCGCGCACGACCTACGCCGAAGCGCGCGGCCGCTGCCCTCCTGTAAGCACAGCCTGCCATTAGTACTATAGTAAGCCTTAGGCCGGCAACATACATACGGAACTCCGTTTCGGGATTCGGTTTCGAGATTCCGATTCGAGATTCCAAATGCAGCAAGTTCATATAAAATCTATGACCTGTCACACACGTACGATAGTTTTCCGTTCGAAATTTTGCGGGCAAAACGGGATTCCCAATGTGCGTAGCCGACCCGTTCGTAATTCCAATATGTATATGACCGGCATTAATATACAATCTTCACAAATATGATCTTAATCAATCAATAAATCTATACAAATAAATAAAATTGAAGTGTCTGTTTGTAATGTCTAAATAACAGTTGTTTACTAAATGCATATGAAAGTATATACGATACTTATTATAACAAAAAAAAAACTATTTTAAAATATTTGTCTATCTGTCTGTCGATTTGTTCAGGCTAATCTCCGAAATGGCTGGACCAATTTTAACAGACAGATAGCTGATGTTATAAAGATTAACTTTTATTTTATAAAAAGAAATAGGGTTCCATGCAAAATAAAAACATTAAATTCAATCGTAATAAATACCACGCGGACGAAGTCGCGAGTAACAGCTAGTAATATATGTGTCGGAAATACGTAAGGACGTTAATTGTTAAAAATAATTATTATTTTATGAGAGCGGATATTGTCAACTTGGCCTCTTGCTTACTCAATTAATCATTATCGGCAATAAAACAGCGTACTACACTATACATTCAGTATATAGAGCAAATACAGTTCGACCACACCGTAATATGTTCCCGTCACAATCACAGAGTAGTGTAACGTAACAGAGACGTAATTACATGCTAACACCAAAGTATACAAACCAACGGCAACAATACCCATCGCAGCGCAAGACAGAGCAACCTCTCAGCCACACGATCCTCCTTGCTTTCACTATAATAAGAACTACAATGAATCTAAAGCCATATACACTTTACACTTATATACACTTTAGTCATAGCTCACCGAGCTAAGGCGGGTACGAACATTTTATGGTTAGAACATTTCCCTAGCTTCGCACTTGCTCGTCGTCGCTCGCCTAGCTGGCCGAGTGCAGGCGAGTATACGGTTCGTTTGGCGTGCCTTGCCACCACTTGGGATTGCTCGCCACGCCACTCGTCTCGATCCGGAACGGTGTCGGTTTTTCTGCACAAATTAAAGACGCTCGCCTGTACTCGGCAAGTCGCGTCCATATGTTAGTTGGCCCTTTCAGTATGTTCACTCATTCAAACTTGGTCAACATGTAGACTTTAGCAATCGCCTTCTATCAACATGTATTGCTGGCTTCTCGTAGAATGACCTGGCCAAAATCTTTACCGCACGGCGCCTATGGAGAAATTTATACTGCACAAACGAGTGGGGGTTTCCCGATCTACCCTCAATTCTACCCCGTCACCATCGATATGACGCTCCGCTATAGTGACTACCTCTCGCTTAGTCTTGATCCAACCGGTACATCATAGATATGCCGTTATGTTCTTTAATGTGTGTCAATACATATTAAAACGAAAACATAATTAAATAAATATAGAAGGTACAATAGGCGGTCTTATCGCTTTGGAAGCGATTTCTTCCAGACAAACTTTCTGCGCAAAGAACTGTTGTTTACAACGAATATCGAATAGGGAATACATAAATGATTAGCTAATTAAGTAAAAAAAAAATGTAAAAACTCATGATGACAGTTGAGGATAGTATGATAGATAGACAAAGGACGGGAAGTATGATGCGAAATATTAGATCCTAGATCTAATCGCTCTAAGTAATAAGGGTTGAGTAGATTTTTGAAGGAAAAAAGGGACTGAGCACGTCGAATATATTATGAAGGCAAGGGATTCCGCAAGCGTACAGTTTTACTAAATAAAAATAAAAAATAAGAACACGTGTGCAGTTCACACGCGGTATAAGTAAAACCTTCATATGAAATTAAATATAAAACAAAAATATTTCACAGTAAATTATTTTTTAATTTGATAATTTTCAACCACAAGTGTGGCATAAAAAATAACATTAAAGTTTAATTTTATAGCAAATATATGTTACAGTTCTTATTTTCAGACATGTAGAGCCTAAATTTAAGTGTATTTAATCAAAAGAATATTTTTTTTCTTTCGCCTGAAATTGCTCTTTAATAGCGACGTCTGCTGAAGTCAATCAATTTTTGTTCGATAAAATGATTTTAACTTTACAATGAATCCGTTAAGTAAAATCATTTTATCAAACAAGGCAAGGAAAATGGATTAGACTCTCAAGGTGGTCCGTAAAATAGTCTGATTTAATATAAATCGGTAACATATGAAATCGTGGATTGTTAAGAATGGTTTGGATATGACAATTTTATTAAATATAACTAATTGTTCCTTGCGACTTCGCCCGCGTGTAGTTTGGGGTTTTAATTGTGTTTCGCGGAACCCTAATTCTTATTCTAAGATAAAAGTATCCTAAGTTACTCCTTATGACATGAGCTATCTGCCAGTGAAAATCCCGTCGAAATCGGTCCAACCGTTTAGGATATTAGCCGGAACAAACAGACAGATAGACAGACGAACAGACAGACAGACAAAAACTTTAAAAATTGTATTTTTGTTATTAGTACCGTATATATTTTCATATGCATTTAGTAAAAAGCTATAATTTTGACATTACAAACAGATACTTCAATTTTATTTATTTGTATAGTTTTAAACGTTATATTAGAATTTTTTAAGCCACTGCTCGACGGTGAAGGAAAACATTTGAAGAACCTGCATTTCTGAGATATTATAAATATTTCGAGAACTTTTCCGTCCTTCCGCTTATAAAGTCAGCGCGGCGGCTCTTCTCTGCTATAAATCCCGTCAGAATTGCGAATTCTATAGCCAGATATGGGACGTAAACAACCTGTTTCTTTACTGTATATCATAATGTTGTATAGAATAAAGGTAACCAACGAGCACACAGTCCACATGATGGTAAGTGGATGCCGTGGTTCATAGTCATCTACATTTATAAGAATTAAAATACATATGCAAGCTGAGGACTAAAATTTAATGCCTCGTTTCCATTAAAAACGGTCTCCGGTTCTCTGTTCTCTCGCCTGAATTCCTCATACGCTGACGTCTGTCGCGTACGTCGGTCGCGCGTACTAATGTACAATGTACATTGTGTTCTATATAGCCCCACACTACGACGCCGACGACAGCGGCGCGTAGCTTGCTACGTACGCGTACGCGACCGACCGTACGCAACCGACGTCAGCGTAGGAGGAATTCAGGCCTTAAATTTATATTATATATCGCATGTGTGATACTGTTTATTTAACTTATACTTAATTAAATTGTAATTATATTTGTTTTTAAATTAAAATGTATATCTGATTATGTGTCAAGTGCAAAATTGTTTTTGTTCGTTTAGATTCAAATAAGCTTATCGAAAATACATAAATGCTAAGATACGCCATCGTACACACGATATAAATAGCATTTTATCTAAACCTACATCACGACGTTCCAGACAACGCTGTTTTATTATTCGAGGTGCGTTTTAACAATTGTTTAAACTTTAACTTTTTTTATAGGATAGGGTGACAAACGAGCACACAGTTTTTCACCTGATGGCAAGTGTTTGCTGTGGCCCATAGACATCTACATCTATCCCCGTTTGCGAATCAAAATGCAGATGCGTTGTCACCCGTGAGGACTAAGATGGAATGCCTCTTTTCCAGTAAAAAGGGTCTCCGGTTCTCTACACTCACCATACGAAACACAGCAGTTTTAAGCTGCTATTTTAGCTGGTACTCTGTGAGACTTGGTAAAAGTAAAAAAAAAATACTTTCAATAAGAATTACCTGTAATCTATATTGAATAAAAAAATCTATTGTGTTCTATTCTATCGTCTTTCTAGGAAGTGTACGCTTTATTCTAACACAGTTGTCACTTGGGGGGATATGTGTAATTAATGTATTCATACATGTTAGGAAACAAAGTATATCGTACTAGCGATCCGACCGGCTTCGCACATGTTGATTTCTAGATCTCGACAACAACGACACCTACCTGATCCAATTGTGAATCTAAACCATTCTCTGATCAACTTAATCACACACACGGAATTTCATCAAAATCGGTTCAGCAGTTTAAGAGGAGCTCAGTCACATACACACGGACGAAGAATTATATAATATATAATATGCATGTATTATACATAGAAACCTTCCTCTTGAATCATTCTGTCTATTGATGAAAACCGCAAATCCGTTGCGTAAATTAAAAGATCTAAGCGACGGCGGGAAGCGACTTTGTTTTATACTATGTAGAGATACTCATAAGTAAGGTGTTAATGGGTAAAGAAAGCTAGGTAAATATCAGGAAAATGTCATGGTCACCAATAAACTTAGTAACAGTGGACTATACAACTAAATGACAGCTATAAATATTAGCTAAATAAGATCTAGGTAGGAGAATGGTGCCCAAACTAGGTTGCCCTGTGCTATGGGATCACCAGGCCCCTCCTTCAACAGTAGTGACACCGCTGTAAAACATTTAATAATCTATACCGCTACGTGTAATAAAATTACAGTAAAATAAAATTGTTCAGTTTGGAGAAACTGTGTAAAAGTTACTTATTAGGTGTATACAAAGTAGGAAAAACATGCTTTAAATACTAGTAAAGGTACGTTGGTAAGTTGGTTAGCAAGCTGGCAACTGCAGTTTTTTATATTTTTTATTTGAACTGTTATCACTAAGATGTTGCTGCCCATCACCTGTTTTAATTCCCTCTGTGGGGTAGTGGATATTCTTACATTGCCACTACACAGTCTTTGTAATAAATTTCTTGTGCGTATAATTAAAAATAAAATAAAAATAATAAGAATATACAGGCGTCAACGTTTTGTTGTATGTGTTATCATCAACATTATGTAAGTTTATGGTTTTTGCCACATAACTGTTAAGCAGCCGTAAAAGACGCGTGATGAATCGGTGAGTCGCCTCGA